GGGTACAGTTAGGCTTTAATGAATGAGGAATCACTTTAAATATCAACAGCCCGAAAATGTTTAACACACCTTTTGAAGTTACAAAAGACACAATTTTAGTCTGTCATTCAGACTCTAAAACCAGCGCAATCCATGTATAAACAGTTATTACTGCTATAAAATATCATCAAAGCAATCCGTAATGTATTGAACGTAGTGTAAACAGGATGTGCTTTCAAATGACAAGCGTCCATAACATAAGCCGCTGATCGTTTTATCCGATTGAATGATTGTGTGAAACGTTACTGAATAGCTACAGTCAAAATATTTTTCTAGAGGAACGCCACTTCAGCCATTTTTGTTCTAATAAATAAGCGCTATATTTTTTTTCCTTGAAGATAGAACCACATTTGCATACATCTATTAGAAAGCTTTCATTTAAAAAAGACTTCCTTATAGCGTCTCGATGAAATATTTCACAGTATTTTTAACCAATAAGTTAAACTTATTGTTCTAATTATTAACTATAAAGAGCATTTAAAATTTAACACTAGGTACATGTCGGGCTACTACGTTCAATGATTAAACATCATCATGGGTCGCATCCGTCGGAAGTGTAACTGGGGCAGAGGCGTAGCGACCCTTCCCGGCGCCCGGGGACAAACTTTTCGATTTGCACCCCACCTCAAGATTTCGATTTGCACCCCCCCCCCCCTCAAACTTTCGATTTACACCCCCTCGAGATTTCCATTTGCACCCTCCCCCCCCCTCAAACTTTCGATTTGCACCCCCACCTCGAGATTTCCATTTGCACCCCCCCCCCTCAAACTTTCGATTTGCACCCCCTCAACCTTTCAATTTATGTACGTTCCAAACGCCCTTAACAACCCAGCGGTCGCTGATGTCTGTTCTAACCAGTTTTTCCTTGAGAGTAAATAACGAACGCTCAAGTCCTTCACACAGAACACTCTGGGTCGCCATGACAGCAGTGTGGTCGACCCCATCTTCCACAAGGCGGATCCAATACATACAGCGTCTTTTTTTACATTTAAAAAACGTATTGAAAAAACAAAACAGGGTCATACGTCTTCTTCTTCTACATTCTTAATTTTTGTGTTGGAAGAGATTCCCTCAAACAAAGTTAAGGGCCTTACGTCTAAAAATTCGCAATTAGTAACAGGTCTAAGAAAACCTTATAAAAATTGTCTTATTCTAGTGTGTATGACTAGAACAAAAACACATAGTAAGTATTTAGCCTACATTTTACTTCAACAATACACCATAGTAAATGACCAACCTTATTCACTGTCTTAAAAACGGATAATTTTCTATTTTTATTTTTAACTAAATTTTTTGTTTGGCCCAATTTAAAAATAAGAAGCTAACGTATTCATAATATGAAAAAAGTTAAATCTATATTTGAATTGTGTTATATCCTTATTTAAATCCATTCAATTTTGAAATGACAAAGATACATATTATATTGACTGTTTTGTGAGATATGCAATACAAGTTCAACATTTCTCAAATTTATTTTACTAATTTTACCAAAATTATTGACATGTGAGGGGTCGGCTTGGTTGAGTTGCTAAACCGAAAAGTCTCGAGTTAGAACCCTCGGGCAGATGAGGCTCGTTAGCTGGGGACAGCCACTCTTCTAGGAGAGACAACTCCAACATCAAAACAACTGCTGCCTTGTAGTTTGTCCTTGGTTGAACAAAGGCTATGGAAGCAAATCCAAAAAGAAAAGCAGGCTGAAATCGGAGTCAATGGCCTCAATGGCGCATAACCAGTTGACACGTACCGCTTAATTGTGTTGGAGGCGTGATCGAGTCGGCAAAAAGCTCATGGTTGATAAATTCGAAAAAGTCTCGAGTTCAAACCCTCTGGCAGATAAGGCTCGATCCCTTTCAACACTAAAAATTAAGAACGAAGAAGAAGAAAAATGACATGTGATTCATAAACGCAAACCCTAACGCAAATACAAACACAAACACATATGCAAGCGTAAACTAAAACAAAAACATAACCGCAAACACAAATGTATACACAAACGCAAACAATAAAGCAAGGATAAATTAACATAATCATACAGGACATAAGTAACTGCTGATAAACCGTTATTGATAAAAATAATTAATAAACATTGCATTCATTGCATACAATAAATAAAAGGTAGTAGGTCTATTTGAGAAAAACCTGTGTTTTGCCTATCTCATTGCACTTTATCCAACCATGCTAATTAAATTTTGTTCAACATCAAATTACCCAAAAAAAAGTGTTTTTTCTGCCTTACAATTTTTTTTATTTAATCGTATGTCAAGAGAAGTATATGGTAAAAACGGACGTAATTTAAATCCTTTGTTTAACAAAATAAGAATTTTTTATTTTGATTTAAAATGATAAGTTAAAAAATTAAAATCTACTTTAAAAAATATGGTCAACATAGGTTTTTTAATCATTAATTTAGATTTTAGTACAAAACTTGATAGTCTAAAAGTTTTAAAGAAAGCTAACCAAGTCGAGATTTTTACTATGTGCCATTCTTTCATATACCTCCAGAGACAACGAGTCCATTTCATCAGTTAGATTCTTAGAAGGATAAGTCCTTTGTGAACTACTAAGGGTATTGACAATTAAAACGATTTCCAAATATATTTTTAAAAATTGCAAATAAGGCCTAATAGACAACCCAACGCTATTTGGAATATTTGGGCTTAGCATTAAATTAAATTAAAGCAAATTACAAATTTTAGAAATCTAATAAAAAATGCCTTGGATGATCTGTTAGTGTCTTATATTTCGACGCCTATAGAGCATATCATAGAAGGCAGTTTTAATACAAGATATTTAAAACTGTGATACTAAACATTGAATGTGTAGTGTTTGTCGGCCCGTTTAGTGTTTGCAAAACGCTGGGCATAAACATATTTAAGAGTGATCTTACTTTGACTAATGTAACTATCAAATACGAAAGATAAATCGAATTACTCACCATGCACATTTGTACAAGGCATTGATCGTATTTTTATAGAAAATTATATTTTTTTCTTGTATGTGAAATTTCATTTAAAATAATAGTCAAGTTATAGGCTTTTGAAAAATTTAAAGTAGAAAAAGTTCCACTTTCGGTTATCGGAAATCGCTGAAAAGTTGATACAGATCTACAAATTCAATATAATACTTATATATGAAATTTCATCAACCTAGCTGCAACGGTACTCAAGTTATCGTGCTTACAGACACACATACACACACACAGACATATGGGCAAGATTGCAAAATTATGTTTTTTTTTCGTCTCAGGGAGTGTAAAACGTCGAGATTGTTTTTTTTTTTGCACGATTATAATACTTTCTCTATACTATGTATATACGAGAAAGTAAAAACATACTATGCATTTCGCGCTTCGTAACATACAAATCATGAACGACATAAAACTGCAGAACTAAGAAATTGCCTTTATGACAGTCGTAAAATTAAAAGCAATTTGAATTTTCAAAGAAGTTAACAATACGGTGCACCTAAACCTTGCCACAGTTATTATTGACAAGTGTAAGGAAAATGCGTAATAATGGTTCCGGACAGATATCGCTTTCTTGTAAAGCAGCATGCAGTGTAAAGAATGTTTCGCTGAAAAGCATTCGTATTTGTCATAAAGAATTCTATAGCTCGATTCAACAGAAAGTGCCATACGAACCGCAACCTTTACACGAATAATAGGAACATGTGTAGGATCGGGACATTCCCCATTTACATAGAAATTCCGTAAAATTGTACACATTTATTATACAGATATGGTTATTAATTGTACACCACGGTGAAAATCCCAAAAAGAAATTGGCACTGTAACCGGCTTTGACGTAGCTTCATCCTGCAATAATTTCAATAGCTGGTGTGCTATAAAAATAAGGCGCTGAACCTTTTTCGAGAATGATTTAAAAACATCATTCAATCTACGATATTTAACTGAGGCTTACAGAATAACTTTTTGTTTTTATTTTTTTACTTTCTCGTATATATAACAACGAGGTATAGAGAAAGTCTTGTAATCGTGCAAAAAAAAAAAAAACATCGCGATTTTTACAAATCTCGACGTTTTACACCTCCTTGAGTCGGAAAAACATAGTTTTGCAATCTTGACCGTATGTCTGTGTATGTGTGTGTGTGTGTGTCTGTAAACACGATAACTTGAGTACCGTTACAGCTATTTAAAAAAATATGATGAGGGACATTATACAATAAGCAGAAAAACACGCAGTTAGCCATACTAAGTATAGACCAGCAAAAAGCCTTTGATAGAGTAGAGCATGGGTTCCCAAACTGAGGGTCGCGACCCCGTTTTCTGGGGGGGGGGGGTCTCCAACTGGTAGACTAAACCCTAGCAATGCTTTCAGACTAAAACATTTGGACAGAGTTAGAATAGAACCGCTATACCCCCCATTAGCACAGTACTATATAGGCCATAGAATAAACACCATTCTGATGACTAACTATATGACATCACATTACGGAGGTAGTTTCAACAGAGATTCCCTAAAATCTTCAAAACAGATAGAAACATTATAAGGCAGTTGGTCGGCAACCTTTTGAGCCGATAGTTACAGTTTACAAATGTACCCAGTTTTGAAAGAGCCACATCAATTTTCATTTCAATATTTGCTATTTGATTAGGATTAAGTATATAGAATCTATCCTCCCTCACTCCATAATATAAAGATACTTTATATAGGAAATATATACGTTTACCAGAGTTCATCGCCCCCTTCCTACCCCAAAAGTTTCAAGTACCTCAGATCCACCCCCCACACCCCTTGGAAGAACCACTGACAAACACAGACACACACGTACACCAAGGAGGTCACTCTACTAATGTGTCGAATTTTACCCGACCGTAGACTAGTTATACTATTGATTTAATTATTCAGTCTTTATAATCTTTTCAAATTAACACGTATTTAAAATCCATTCAAGCTCTGTGGTTCCAGATTTGACGTGTGCAGGAATCGTATCAAAAGAGACGCAAATCTATGCAGGCTTAGAGGGAATTAGTCTGCTAGGTCGCGTATTGATATCGCGCTGGATCTGCAGTTATAGATATGCTACATACATTCCGTAAATACTAAACTAATTAGTTTATACACGTTTTAGAGATCGTAAGTAAATGTTTTCAAACTTATTTTTTATTGCAATCGTTTTGATCGTTTAGTGAACAATTATAATTATTAAAATAATTGTTTATGTGTGTGTGTGCATGTGTGTGTGAGTGTGTTACATTATAGTAAAAATATTACTATTGTACAAAGTGGCCAACTGATACAAGTAGATCTAAAACACAATTTGCAGTTAACAGGAAATCGGATTTTAATACACAGACTCAATTTCTCACGTTTTGTATCCACTATAATTAGATCTGCATCTTTTTTTTTTAAAATTTTTGGTGTAAAGATGGAGTTGTCAAACATATTCGTGTGTTTTGTGATTCGATCTGATGAACAAAAAGTTAATTTTTTTTTAAAATCATAAAACGTTTTATTTCTAAACTTATGAATATTTAGTTTTAAAACGGAAGTTTTGAAAACGATTGGCTTAGTATAATATTTTTAAAGCCAAAAAGAAAATTGTCGCAATAATTACCAATCGCTCACAAAACTTCGGTTATAAAACTAAATATTTAAAACTGTCTTTCAAAGTTAAATTTATGATATAAAGTTGCATGAAAAAAAACAGGGTCTACTTTTACGTTTCAGGTCGAGGCCATGTACAAGAAAATGTTGTTCTGGCTGTTTTGGTTTCTGGTGTGGACATTGACGTCATTCACGTCACACTACTGTGGGAAAATGTTTATACAAAACAGTCAGTTGATGGAGGCCGCTGGGTGGACGTTTGCTGTGTGTCTGACAATTGTTCAGGTGAGTCTCGTTTTGGGTGGGGATGTAGTGGGGATTTATTTTTTACAAACATGTGTTTTCGCAGTTCCAATACATCTGTTTAGGATTTATTAAAATGTGTAACAAATTTTTTTCGTGTAAGCTTGACTCCAGTTAAAGAATATGAATTTGTTAATTTTTTTTTCATCTGTAACTATTGGTCACAATTGAAACATACTCCAACTAATTTGTACCCGTGAAACGACTTACGAAAAACCCGTTTATTTATCACATCAGTTCAATCAATATTTTACTCAAAAATTTTAGCACGCACATATGTTGCACTGTTGTCTTGTTTTTTGTTTGTTTTCCTTTTGTTTTGGAATTTAAGATCTAAGGCTTTTTGAACACTTTTTTCATGTTTGGCACATGAAAGTAAGAATTAAACAGCAAAAAAAGTGTTGAAAACAATTTTGGTAATCACGGAAACCCCAAAAAACCTCCGCCATTTTAAAGTTTTCGGTCTTTTTAAAAACGCTATGGCTTTTTATTTATGTACTTATAGCCATCAAATTAAACGGCATGAATTTCATTATATTTTAAAACTTTTGTCACGTAAACCTTTTGATATATTTACTGGTCAGAGTTTTACAAGGTCGGAAAAATCGTACCCTTTTTAGAATTCAAAAGTTTCAAAATTTGCATATTGTTTACCATAAACGTTTTTTCTATGAAAGCAATCACAATTCCCTCATAACAAAAGTTTCATTTTTGCATGAAGAAAAATTACTGAAAATGTAGTGGGCATTTTTTAATAAATAAAAAAGTGGTAGACTTTTTAGAGTTAAAAAATGCGAACTGAGAAAAACAGCAAAAAGTAAGAAAATTTAGGTCACGAAAATACCATATCTGTGTAATTTGTAAAGCCGATTGTAAGCTTTTGTTTCTGAGATGATAGATGATTGAAAATACGCTTATCAAATACATGCGAAATGAGGCTTTCCAATTGTGCCATATACAATATGATAACGGATATAAAAACTGTATAGAGAGCTTGAAAGATTAAGAAAAAATGATTTTTTTATTAATAGGGTCATAAAAATAAAAATTGTATTTTTAAAACAACATATTATTTTCATTTAGTCTATTATTTTCTTAATACAAAAAATGGACTAAGTATCCAAAAGTGCAATAAACCAATCATGACAAAAAACCAGGAATTTGGTGATTTTGAAAGGAGCATATCCTCATATTAAAATGAAGTAAGGATATAAAAACTACCAAAACTCACAATTTAATTAACTTTATAGCATACAGGTGAGTCTGTATTCTATTGACAATGCTATACTATTGAAATTAACTTATTCTTTTGTCTTTTAATAATCCATGTTGTCCGTTGGTCACGTGACACGATCTATAACACAACCCGGTTTATCCGTATATTTTTCTGACTTGCTGGGAAACTTTGAACATGTACGATTTATCAACTGTACACAACAAATGAGGAAGGGGTGGGGGGGGGGGAGGCCTCAAGACACTCGAAGGTAACCACCGAGCCGTGACAAGCGTCGATAATTTGGTGCTGCATGAATCTATGCCATTGAAACTGTAGCGCTAATATATCCGTTAACTTTCTACATGAGGGCGTTTTTACGTAGGGTAAAGACCCACTTAAGACCAGAGAGTGAATACTGGGCTATTGCACGTTTGTGTATTTGATGCTGTTGATTTAAAATGTGACGGTTGCTTTACAATTTGATTTGCTTGTACGGGATAGCTTTGGTTTAGAGTCGACTGCCATTGATGGGCATAGAGTCAATAGAAATTAACGAGACTGGGTATAGAATTATTCACCTGTTGAAGTCCATGCTGCATTAAGCCTTTACAAAAACATTGTTATAATTTTGAACCGTTGTCTTTTTACGGACACAACATTTAAAGAAATGGTTTTATTTCTAACTTGAAATAGAGCTAGAACTTGCGGTTATCAGCAAATTTACTTAATATACTTTAAAAGGAGAAAAAACTACTTTAAAACAAAATTTAGTTGATGCAAATTTACACTAAGAATCAAAACAAAATCCGTTCCGTAATAATCGCACAAGAACATCTAAAAGTGATACATTTTTTTTAGATATTAAAAAAAAAGGATAGGATTTGTGTACGTCTACGACAGAGCAAAGTCATACATTCTCGCAACATCTCCTAATTAGGTAAACCGTTTTAGCTTTTTTTTTCCAGTAAAATGCTGCTTATATTATTGTTGTGAATGTATGCCATTTCAACCCTACGTTCTAATGTTACTGTATCGTTTAGAGTTCTGCGTTTGTGGCGGCCATGAAAATTCAAGTTTCGGGTCATTGGTTGATCCTGGGGTCACATATTCTGTCCACCTTGATGACAAACTTATCAATGGCCGCTACACAGGTAAGTAGCATCATAAACTTGGGGGTTTTAATACATAGGACACGTCAAATAAGGAAAGTCAAGGCAAACGACATCTATGGGGGGGGGGGTGTTACTGGTCAGTTGTAGGTTAGACAGAAATAGGCTAGAATATTGTAGAACTAGGGGAGAGTGCGTGTGTGAGTTGAATTTACCCTAGAGTATAGTTAACACCGGTGTGTTTATGTATTGTTATCCCAAGATCGAATGCGGTATAAAAGCTGAAGGGAATGATTGCAGCAGTTAGGGCGAGGGCTACTGTGTAATGTGGAGAATTGAGACCATATAAAGTACTGAAGATTATTTTCTGAGTTGAACTAATCCCGGACGTAACAGGGGGGAGGATAAGCGCATGATCACTAACTATAGGTTGTTGCACTCTGTCTACGAGTAAAAGTGTGTGTCCATCCATTACTGAAGAGGATATTTATATAAAGACTGAAAGAAGCAACAGTAGTGTTTCTTATTTTTTTGTGAGTAGAGAATAGACCAAAGCAAGGTATCGACTGGTTAATTGCCTGTTTTAGAGCGATACAATTATATTTCAAGACTTTAATATTTGTATACATGTTTCTCATTCTGTCGAAACAAAAAATTTCTACTCTCCCCCCCCCCCCCCGGGCAGGCATCGTCGACGTTTACCATCAAGATGCTGGAACCAGTAGTGATGCTTGTTGTTAGTCGCTCACAGATATCTACACAAAAACTTATTAGCATACCTGTCATTTTTATAGGAGCTTTTCTTTTTACCGGTAGGGGAATATTAAAATAATGATAATCCTGAAATAGCAATGTATCAATATTAAAAAAAAAAATTATGTCTATAATAATACATGTGTCGAGACTTCAAGCATTAAAAAATAAATACATTACTTTTACCCCAGGTATTCTAATGGCAAGATCAGGAGACTTGACTGGAATTATTTTCGCTTTTTTGTCTAACATATTCCTGGCGGTTCGAAACACCCAGCTAAAGCGCCATAACACGAAGATTAAGCTAAAACACTCAAAATGCCCCCCACAAATCACCACACTAGCAAGTGTGGCTGGTGTTTGCCTGTTGGCAGGTTTATCTGTGTTCAACGTTTTCTCGAACCTTCGAGCAAATCTTATATTCCTAGTCCTTGGATCAGCTGCTTGCCATGTTACCTACACAAGCGTCTCAACAGAAATACTCAAGGTAGATACTGTCTGCAGTATTACATGTGCCCCTGTTATTTTAATAATTTTACACAAAACCTAATTTTTAAAGTAGTAGTTTGTTTTAATATCCGTATTTAGGAATGTTTGATCAATTATTCTTTTCGAAAAAAAACCCATTTATAATTCAAGTCATGGTTGAACCAAACATGTTTTAAGTCTGCAAGAGTTCTCACCAAATGTCGCCTCTTATTTTAACATTCGATTTATAGTTTTTTTATTACTAAAATATCAACATTTCATAAGAAACAATGTGACATGTAGTAACTGTAATGATACAAACTAATAGTTTCATGAAATGTAATAAATGTGATTATACCCATACATGGAATGTAATAACTGATACACACTGCTACTTAAATAAAATGTAATAACTGTGATGGTCCAAAATACTATTTTAATAAAATGTAATAACTGTGATCATACAAACTACTACATTATGAAATGTTATAACTGTGATGATAAACAATACTACTTTCAAAAAATATAATAACTGTGATGATATAAACTACTACTTGCATGAAATGTAATGACTGTGATGATACAAACAACTACTTGACAGAGAATGTCTGACACTGTGAGTCACTCAGTCGCCAACATCGCCAAGAGACTTCTGATCGTGCTCTTCATGTACGCCACAGGCCAGCGTCAGGCTGGTGCCATGAATGGACTGGGTCTGGTAGTCTGTACAGTTGGACTCCTGGCGTGTTTCCGTGAGGACAGTAAACACAGGGCTCCACCAGAACAAGATGCTGAGGGCCACACAACAGCAGATTCGTCAGGTACTTGACAATACAATCCTCTGTTTCTTGCATGATTGTTTTATTTGGTGGGGGGGGGGGGGAGGCAGTTATATTTCCAAGGGTCTTTCCTACACAGCCTCTGAAGAATGGCTGAAAAACTCGATAAAGTAATCAGAGTAAGCTTCAGGCATCTCTGTGGGGATGAGGGGGGGGGGGAGGGGAGAGAGAAAGCAGGTTTGCCGCACCCCCACCCTCCCAACAAAATATAATTTGTAGAGATAATATAAAATGTAATATACTTTTACCAGTGTGTCCTCCGGTAAATTTAGTCCGCCAACCCACCCCAACATTTTTAAGTACTCCCTCCGCGGAGAAAGAAAAACCTGAAAGAACACTAAATGAAAAATGGTGTTTAGTTTCTAGAATATCTTATTTTAACTGTAGTTTTAATACACTATATACTATGTAGTAGTAGATATCGAGATACATCCGCTCATATCTATAATAGTACATTTTATGAAACGTAATAACAAAGTATTTTCTATACATCATTGAATGGTTACACATGTTAAATAATAGATAATGTTTGATAAAGTAGACCTTTACAATTGTGTCGGGTAAGGTAGAAGACGGCTAGGCCCACCCAAGCCGTAAATCAAGTTAGGTAGGTTAAACTTAGCCTATTATATTTCATTGATCCAGATAAGTGTCAACTGTCATCAATATATTATTGGTTGTGCGCTAAAACTGAAGTAAGGAAAAATGGCTTTGTAAATTGTTTGCAATATTTTTTTTTATTTCATGTCTTATATAATTTAAGAATGAATACTAGTAAATGACAATTAATCAAAAACGCTGCCATTTTATTTCCAGAACCGAGAAAACTCGTATTGTTTTCTATGTGGTCAATCGCCATATTGATCATCGCAATAGTAAACAATGAAAAAACTGCTGGGACGCCAAGTGTCAAGAAAATTCCCGTCTGGCCGGATGTGACGACTCTAGAAACACCAAGTCGTCTTGTGGACTACAACGTTACCTCCCATGTTACCTCAGACCAGCATCAAAGGGAGATCACTCTACCAGAGTTCCTGTCGTGGAACCTGACCGAGCACCCGTACGAGACGAACCTACTGGCGAGTCGCCTAACGAAACACGAGGACATCGTGAGCGAGGCCCAGCGCGTGCTGATGAACATCCTGTCTGAGCTGACTAGAGGGGCTGATCACGTGATGTTGATGGAGATCGCAGTATACGAGAACAAGGGCGATCCGGCCATTTCTGCTGGCGAAGTTTTTTTGTTGAAAAAACTCAACAAAACAATAATTTATTACTGCTCAACTTTTGAATGTACCGACAACAATCTGGACAAAGCCGTAAACATAAGCAATATGTATCCGCCACATAAGTTAGTTATATTTATGCAAGGAGGAGGAAATATCGCAATGTATCCAGCTGTTGATTTAATTCGGCGTTCAGTTATCCAAAGGTTCTCAAAATTTAGGATGGTTGTGTTTTCACAATCTGTTTACTACCACTTTAAAGAAGACATACTACGCTGTCAGAAAATATACTCCAACGTTACAAATCTAACCATGCTCATAAGAGATAAACAATCGTACGGGCTAGCGAAATCTTATTTTAAAGGTGTTCAAATTATCCTAGCACCGGATATGGCATTTGGAATAGGAGTCGTTAAGAGAACATTCGCTCCTGCGTTTGATATCCTGTGGCTGCGAAGGCAAGACGATGAAGCGAAACATTATATCAAAAGTTTTCAGCGTAGCCTTGGTAACGTGACGATCCACGTAGCTGATTGGTGGAAGTGGTTGTCTAATAAGGGGGAGTCAGACATGGAGACAGCTTTCAACATCGCGCACAGCGGGCTGGTCTTTCTCCAGAGGGGTCGAGTGGTCATCACTGACCGCCTGCACGGCCACATCCTCAGCACGCTGTTGAGAATCCCCCACGTGATCGTGGACAACCCGCCAGCGAGAAAACTCTCCTCGTTCCACACCACATGGACAGCTGGTCTGAGTGATGTTACCATGGTTACAAACGAAACTGAGGCTTTGGATTCTGCCCTCCTGTTGCTATTGAGGTTTTCGGATAAAATACCGGAAGTGTTTATAAACAATGCGAAGATTCAGTTAGGCAATACTAGTGCGAAATCCGGAATGGAACAACAGATAAATACCGTGCTAAAATATTATAACGTATTTATATTCTGGTTTGTAGTATTTATAATCTAAAATGAATACATAGGGTACTGACTTTATTATTTTTATTGTAGAGTGCATTAATATTAAAACAAGTATTAAAATTATGTTCATTTATATCATAGTAAATCGTCGCGATGTTTTTAACAAATGTTTACAACGCCTTAATATATAAGAAATTAATTATTTTGATACATCGGAAGTATTGCACTACAACATATACGTTTTAGATATACTGCTCGCCAAACGTGGTATGGTGTAGCCTCCTGCTTTACGTCTGAGGCTGACAGCAATTAGATTAGGTCCTATATAAAAACAGTATTATTAGCAATTTTAATGTATGTGATCATTGTATATCGTTTGGCTATTCTAAAATGAGTTTGTTAGAAAAAAAAACATACGTTTTTAAAATTCAGCACTTTTTTCATATTTGTAAATATAGCTTTCACATATGCTGCAAAGATAGCAGACACTTGAGTGTACATCGGTAGGTGATGTTTGCATCGCTGCATAGCCACCCGGCGTACATAAATGTGTCAGGTATTCGTGCAGCCCCCCCCCCCCCCCCCACACCAACCTCCCCACCATACAAGACTAACACTCTGTTCTAACGAAACTGTTAACATGATGTTGTAATCTACATAGACGTCTTCCTACTGTTTACCATGGGCTAACATAGTTTATACAGCTCTATGTTCATAGAACATAACACTCAGACACGTTAATGAGTTAGTATTGTACTACCGTGATTAAATATCATCCAAACCGCGGGTACCAAATCAATAGCCCAAGTCTCCAATTGGGGTCGTGAATGGTTTTCGGGGGTCGCTTACTTGTTGACTAAACCAAACGAAACATTAAATATGCATAGGATTCACAGGTCACTTAACTTTTATAAAATGGGGTCACCACTCGAAAAAAATTGGGACCCTACGATCTAACGGATCTGATTGTTATCAACAATGGAACGAGTATAAAGTGTCTAGCGTAGAGCGAAGCGGCATGATTTAAAAAACGGGCTGTTATTGTATAACAAGTCGGGCCGCTTTAGCCGGTGAATGGTTCGATTCAAGCTTTCTGAATAGAGCCCGCAAAATATGTGAATTGGATTTACCACTTGATCCCCGTATGGTTTATCCAAAACCAACACAGCATAAAAATATAAGCTTAGTTGACGTGCCAATGTATGAAACTTGTATTACACTGACGCTGACGAAAGCTTCAACAACATAATATGTTATTGGTTGTTAGTTATATGGCTGACATTTTATTTTTATTGCAAATTAATGTGCTTATATGTTGGTTCTTTAAAAAAAATAAGTTAAGGTTATACAAAATATTGGTTACAAGAAATTGATGAGGTAAAAAAAAAGCTGCATTTTTATTGAGCGTTTGATGGGCTTAAGTATGCCTTAAATAAATTATAAACTTAGGTATTTAAATCTTATCCAATTAATCTAATAATTATCTGCAATAAGTGGTTAGAACGTTACAAAAGGTAACTTTCTCCCGATCGATTATGGAAGTTCGGCTTGGTCGGCCAGGTGAGTGTTATGTTTTCTAAATCCACAAGTCCCGAGGTTAGACCCCCCGGGCAGGTGAGCGTATGTTTTCTAAATCCACAATACCCGAGGTAAGATCCCCCGGGCAGGTGAGCGTATGTTTTCTAAATCCACAAGTCCCGAGGTTAGACCCCCCGGGCAGGTGAGCCTATGTTTTCTAAATCCACAATACCCGAGGTAAGACCCCCCGCGCAAATGAGCGGATGTTTTCTAAATCCACAATACCCGAGGTTAGACTTCCCGGGCAGGTGAGTATCATTAGCCTTGGACAGCTGCTCATCCAGGAGAAAAAGTTCTACAATCAAACAACCTGCTACCTTGCCAATAGTTCAAAGGTCAATCCAAGTAAGATGAAGTTGAACTCAACAGGCATATCTAGCATAACTTGTATTGAAGGAAAATTACTGTTTACGAAAGAAGAAATTCGGATGAAGGATAAAATATGTACATTGGGAACCACAAACACCAATTTTTAAACATAATTGTGAAAAATTATTCCTCTTGTTCAATTTGCCTGAACATATGTATGCTATTTTAGTCTGTTTTTCTGTTAACTTTTAATGGTGGGATATATATCCTGATAGCTTTGTGCTGCCTGCGTTAGCTTTGTGTTTGCTGTCTTTGTTTTGATATTGCTCAATTACGAGTTAAAGCCTAATTTTTTTTTTTTGCTTAAAGGGATATATTCATTAAAAAATCACCAAAATTCATATTTTTCGTGATAAGTATTATCAAATACATGAGAAACCCAACTTTCTAATGATGCCAAATACAATATGATGACGGGTATAAACGTTTTGGTAGAGAGGTTGTAAGATTGGGAAACAATTATTATATTTTTAATTAACAGGGTCATAAAAATAGTATTTTAAACACACACATTTTTTTTCTCAAAAAAGTTATTTTTTTCTTAACACAAAAATGAACAATGTATCCAAAAGCGCAATAAACCCATAATGACGAAAAGATATGGAATTTGGTGATTTTTTATGAGTACAACCCGTTAAATATATTTTTATATAGCAATGGTCGCTATTTGGGGTTTAAGAATAAACACGTTTGTTTAATTTTCAATGCGCTTAAAGTGTTTTTGTTGTAAACGTTTTTGTTAACTCTAGTGTAGGTCAAAGTTTTTAGAATAAAATTGTTCTGCCATAAATTACAATATATTAGCTACCCCAAATTATTTGCAGCACTGGACTTAGACCACCCCAACTCATGTTCTTTCGATCAGGCAGCCCCCCCCAGAGTTTCTTCCAGGCATCTCTTCGGGGGGGCAAAGCCCCCCCGAAAATTTTTTACCGCCCCCCCGAACGAAATGAAATTTATATAATTTATATAGAAAATATATACTTTTAACAGTGTCCGCCCCCCCGAAGAAAGTTTACCGCCCCCCCGAAGATTTCAAGTGCCCCCCCGGAGAAAAAAGTCTGGAAGAAACACTGAGCCCCCCTCCCCCCCCCCCCCACACACACCACTCAAGTGCAAGACGTAACGACCTTATTTTCGTGCTGGTATTGACACGCACAAATATAATAGTTAGATCGAACTCTTTCAGCCAATACACATTCGACATAGCCATGACACATCCCATGTACACATTCTGGCCACGCCCCTCTCCTGGCTATTAGGTGTGAACGTCAGTCGTGTCGGGTTCTAAGCTGTTGGGTAATCAGGCAATTCACTTCCTGCTTCCAGATTTTCACACATATTTAGTTTTTATTTATTTATTTATTTATTTTTTGTTTGTTTGTTGCAATTTTAGTTTTTGCATTTTTTAAAAATTCGCTTATTGGGAGAGGGGAGGGGGGCACTGCTAGAGTTGTTTTCAGACATGTCTCCTCGTGTTGCACTAAACTTTCGACGGTGTACTTAACAGAGTTTCTTCCAGGCATCTCTTTGGGGGGGGGGGGGGGGGGGCGAAGCCTCCCCCCCCCCCCCCCCCGAAAAATTTTTACCGCCCCTCCGAACGAAAAGAAATTTACATAATTTATATAGAAAATATATACTTTTAACAGTGTCCGCCCCCGAAGAAAGTTTACCGCCCCCCCGAAAATTTCAAGTGCCCCCCCCCCGGAAAAAAAAGTCTGGAAGAAACACTGGTACTTAAAATATCCTGATGTGAAGGAAACGCAAGTAAACTTATATTCTCTATACACATTATATTTAGTTTTCATTTTATTCTGAAGCGGTGATAGAAAACATAGTTTACTTTCTTATAAAAGATGTAACGTTTATTTTTCTTTTCACATATGTAATATAATGGATGTAACTCTATTTTATAACAGATTTAACACGTTTTTATAACAGATGTAATACTTTCTTCAAACAGATGTAACACTTTCTTTCTTATAACAGATGTAATACTTTCTTCAAACAGATGCAACACTTTCTTTCTTATAACAGATGTAACACTTTCTTATAACAGATTTAACCATTTTTTAATAACAGATGTAATACTTTCTTTAAACAGATGTAACACTTTCCTCTAACAGATGTAACACTTTTTTATAACAGATGTAACACTTTCTTTCTTATAACAGATGTAATACTTTCTTATAACAAATGTAACAGTTTATCTCTTAATGAAGCAATTTCACGATTCAATGAACGACTTGAAAGGTTCTGGTTCTTTGAATATTATTCTTAAGAATTAAAATACAGTTGTGTTAGCAACCCATTTAGAGGATGAGTAGGCCTATATACCTTGTACATTTGGTCAAATAATATTTGCTTTACGTTAAGTTTTTAGTAGCTGGTTACTTAAGCACCACATAATCTATCTATATACTACTAAAAGTCAAGTTTGTTTACATGTTTGAATATTTATTTGTTTTTTTGTTTGTTTGTTTGTTTGCCTGATTGACTATCTCGCATGGTTGCACTCATCATGGAAAGCTGTAAAATAGTATGTAGGTAGAGAAAAAACTTTGTTTTAAGACAGACTGTTAATCACACATTTATTTAAAGACGTTAATTAATTTATTGATTTATTCATACGCAGAGTAACCCATTTTTTTTTAAAAGTTTAGAACGACCACTACACTCGGCGGGACCGTGACGTCACAGTTTTTTGTTTACTCTTTAGTACAATAAAATGGCGGCGTCTATCGATGAAAATTGTGTTCCCATTCAAAAGTTTAACGCGTTCTAAATCTAATTTTCTGTCGGTCATAACTTTAACAATACGTCCGTTTGCTGTATTTATTACGTTCCAACACTTATATCAATTTTAAACTGTCTTTTTTCATTTAGTTTTACAATAAATTTCTCTAGATCTATATACTACTAAAAGTCAAGTTTGTTTACATGTTTGAATATTTATTTGTTTTTTTGTTTGTTTGTTTGTTTGCCTGATTGACTATCTCGCATGGTTGCACTCATCATGGAAAGCTGTAAAATAGTATGTAGGTAGAGAAAAAACTTTGTTTTAAGATAGACTGTTAATCACACATTTATTTAAAGACGTTAATTAATTTATTGATTTATTCATACGCAGAGTAACCCATTTTTTTTTAAAAGTTTAGAACGACCACTACACTCGGCG